AAAAGTGGCAGAAGAGAAAAATAAGATGGCACACTGAATTTTTCCTCTTTAAAAAAACATACTTCCAGCTTCTTAATGGCTGAGAAAAATGAGCTTCATTTTACAGAAGTTTCTAACAGATACTTACACAGAATGGCTTAGGGATTTTTGGTTCTAAATATGAAACTAAGCATGGGTTAAGAAATTTTAGTTCTATATGTGACTCAATTATTTTCAAAGTAATTTTTTAAAAATTACAATGATTTTTAAATAGATATGGTTGATTTAAAACTTAGGCAGCAGGGCAAGTGCTAGGATACAGCACAGCTATTATGAAGGTTCACAGTGACTGTGAAGAAGTTACTTCAACTATGAAGGCATGAAAGGAGGGAAACTAACGGTGTCCTTAGGGGTTCTCAAGCAGATAAAAGGGCATTCAAAGTAAATTAAAAAAGGGGTGGGGAGGCAAGGACCTAAAAAAATCTTTAGCACGTACCCTGTTTTCAGGACTGTATTATGCATTCCATATATTTTATTTAATGTTCATTAAAAAATTAACTAAGAAAGAGTATCCTAGCTTTACAGTTAATAAAATAACTTGCTGAAGGCATAAAATTAGCAACTGAGCCAGCCAATTTTATCTAGTTACCTAATTCCAAATAGTATCTATTTGTTAACTGCCAGGATCTTACGCTAAGGTGTAAGAATAAAGTTTCTGTCAATCTCAGGAAAAAAAATATACTAAACATTCTTATAAAAAATTCATTGTACATCATTAATGATATGACCAAAAAACAGGAATTTTATGGAGAATGTGAATTACACAAGTCCAGGTGTGGAAAGTTAATGGAGTAAGAAAGAATAATGTTATGTAAAGAAAATGTTAAAAATACATAAAATCTTGCCAAATACATAAAGTCATTCCAGACAGATGACCTGAATGGAATAAAAAATACAGTGTCTTGACCTTCAATGGGAAATGTTATCACCTTTATGCCATAAAAAAGGAATGGTAAACTCTAAAGGGTAAAGGATTACTAATGAATATGAGTTCATTTTTTCTAAGTTATTTAAGTGAAACTTAAAAGGTTGTTTAAAAAAAATGCTAAAAACTGATTATTTTTATGTAACAGATTAACACTGAGATAATCAGCATGAAGAAAAATCTGAATTCCTATTCCTGACACCTTGCACCAAATACGTATCAACCGGGGCAAAAAGTTTATGCACTAAAAACCAACAACAACAAAAACAGGAATATAATGTATTTCTGAATGATCTAGGAGCAGGAAAGACCCTGCCAAGCATGACAGAAAATCCGTCATAAAGCAAAAGCCTAAAAAAAAAAAAAATCCAACAATATAAAAATGTTTAAATACCTGCTCAGGAAAAAAGAAATCAAGTCAAAATTAACAAGGAATATATTTGCTACACATACAAAACTGCAAAATAGTCTTATAACCCACTAATACTGAAGACAAAAAATATATAAAGGACAAAAAGTTCACAGAAAAATAAGTATCTTTTAAGCATATAGAAAGATAATGTGGTATACTTTCTGTAACGGCATTAACTAAAGTTTGATAAAACCTAATACTGAAAATATGTGTAAAACAGACCTATTTCCTACACTGGTGATAGAAATGTGTGAGAAAATAATTATGAAGCTCTAAAAATTTAAATACGATAAAACCTCTGATCTATCACATGGATCACTGGAGCCCAGGTTCAAGACCAGACTGGGCAACATGGAGAATTTCCTCTCCATTTATAGTTGGCAAAGAGTCACAGGGGATGTTCACTACAGCACGGTTTTTATAGTATTTATGTATCTATTTATTTATTTATTTAGAGACAGTTTCGCTCTCGTTGCCCAGGCTGGAGTGCAGTGGCGTGATCTCAGCTCCCTGCAACCTCCACCTCCTGGGTTCAAGCAATTCTCTACCTCAGCCTCCTGAGTAGCTGGGATTACAGGCACCTGCCACCATGCCTGGCTAATATTTTTGTATTTTTAGTAGAGACAGGGTTTCACCATCTTGGCCAGGCTGGTCCTAAACTTTTGATCTTGTAATCTACCTGCCTCGGCCTCCCAAAGTGCTGGGGCATGAGCCATGGTGCCCAGTCAGTGTTGTTTTTAACAGCAAAACAAAAGCATGCAATAGCGGCTTAAACAGGTTAAAGCCTGGGAGACATGACGAGGAAAGGAGAGACATGGAAAAAGCACAGATACACATCTATTTTTGATATTATACTCATCTGTTATTCTAACCTTTACTTAAACTTTTATAATTAAAAATTCAACCCCCCCCCACTGCCGTTCTACTCAATTCATAGTCATAGGGGAGAATGAAAAATATGGGAGTTCAGATTTGACTTCCTGATTTCAAGGAGTTCATAAACTGGTTTGGAGACATATACCAGAAAACAAAATGTAAGTGAGACTGAAAGCCTATCATTAAAAACCCAATTATAAAGACAGTAATTACTATAGTACACATGTAGAAAACATCACTTCATGCTAGCGACAGATCACCAAAGCCTTCGGAGTAAAGAAGTTATAGACTGAGTCTCCAACTTAAATTGTGAAATGGTGGCACCAATAAGCCAATACTAACCTTCGGATTTATTTTAGCATGCAGTGTTTTGAAAACTGAAAATTTGTATATTATATGTTTCCTGCTTCTCAAAACATATCACTGTAGCAAAAAATAAGGCACGCATTCCCTATGAAGAAAGGCAATGTCCTCTCCATCCCTATCTTACACAGTCCAATTTGCCTAATTGTGTAACTGGTTGGCCTCTGCAAGCATTTACGTCTCTTGGCCCTGGCACAGAAATGACAGTAACAATGGCCAAAACTACAAACAAGAAAGTACAGTAAATTCTTACTTATGAAGGAAAACCTAGAAGAATATGCTTGTTACAACAAAATAAATACTGAAAAGCAACTGGGAATAAATCAAGCTAAGAGAAGACATTAATCTCACACTTAGAAATTCACAGTTGAGCAAGTTAATGGTTCTGGCCAATCACTACCATGATTTTAACACAAACGTTTAGGCAGTGGTTGTATGCCAAATTGTTCTGCACTCATCTTACCATTAGTTTTACTAAGCATAACAAAAAAAGGTGCCAATAATAATGGCATGAGACCATCAGTTTTAATCCTTATATATTTTGAGACGGAGTTTCATTCTTGTTTCCCAGGATGGAGTGCAATGGTGCAATCTCAGCTCACCACAACCTCCGCCTTTCAGGGTTCAAGCAATTCTCCTGCTTCGGCCTCTGGAGTAGCTGGGATTACAGGCATGTGCCACCACACCCAGCTAATTCTGTATTTTTAGCAGAGATGGGGTTTCTCCATGTTGGACAGGCTGGTCTCAAACTCCTGACCCCAGGTGATCCGCCCACCTTAGCCTCCCAAAGTGCTGGGATTACAGGCGTGAGCCACCACACCCGGCCTTAATCTTTATCTTAAGCCATCTTAAAATAATGCAAAATGGGGCAGAAGTGCTTATGAAGAGTAAGTTCTGTGAGATTTGTACTTTTTAAAGCAGTGTAGAATAAAATTACTGAAAACAGCATTCCAAGCCACAAGTATTCATTTGTGTGATGATACCTAAACATTTATTGTTCCTCATTTATTCTTAGTATACTCACCTCCACATTCTAATTAAAAGGAATAAAGGAAGTGGCTATCTTTAACATCTTTATAATACCAATACTTGGTTGGGCTAAATATATAGTTTTCTCTTTTTAAAAGACAGATCCTGTATCCAACAGGTTAACAAACTCCCTATACAATGCCCTGCTGTGCAAAGCTAAAGCAGTTGTGACTATTTTCTGATAATTTTATAAAAAATCCTTGTCTTATATTCAGGCACACAAAGCTTAAGCATATAGAGCGGACCACTGAAGCCATAAATGTGAGATCCTTAAAATGATGTACAAGGAGTAAAGAACAAAATTAGGGACAAAACATCAACATGTGGGAAAAAAGATGAAAAATTTTAGAAAGCTAGAATCAGAATTAATAGCAACGTAAAAGCATAAGAGGATTTCAATTAAGAAAAGGTCGGCCAGGCCCAGTGGCTCACGCCCGTAATCCCAGCACTTTGGGAGGGTGAGGCAGGTAGATCAAGAGGTCAAGAGATTGAGAACAACCTGCCCAACATGATGAAACCCCGTCTCTACTAAAAATAATACAAAAATTAGCTGGGTATGGCAGTGCCCGCCTGTAGTCCCAGCTATTCAAGAGGCTAAGGCAGGAGAATTGCTTGAACCTGGGAGGCAGAGGCTGCACTGCGCCAAGATTGTGCCACTGCACTCCAACCTAGCAACAGTGCAAGATTCCATCTCAGAAAAAAAAAAAAAAAAAGGTCAATACTTTCAGATTCTATAAAATAGTTAAGGAAATAAGGAGAGTATGATCTACAATTCCTTTGTCAGCATGGTTCACAACAGCAAAGATATGGAACCTACCTAAGTGCCCATAAACCAATGAGTGGTTAAAAAGAAAACGTGGTATATATAGCTACACCATGGAATATTACTCAGCCATAAAAAGGAATAAAATAACATTTTTTTCGAGAAACTTGGATGGAGTCCATTATTCTAAGTAAAGTAAATCAGGAATGGAAAACCAAATAACGTATGTTCTCACTTGTAAGGGGGAGCTAAGCTATGAGGATGCAAAGGCAAAAGAATGCTATAATGGACTTTGGGGACTCAGTGGGGAGGAAGGTTGGGGGAGTGAGGGATAAAAGATTACATATTGGGTACAGTGTCCACTGCTCAAGTGACAGGTGCACCTAAATCTCAGAAATCGCCACTGAAGAACCTTAACCATGTAACCAAAAACCACCCGTATGCCAAAGCCTATTCAAATTAAAAATTCCTTTGAAAGCATCAAATTCTATAGCTTTACACTCTACGTATGAAAGATAACTGTTAAGATTATCAAATAGACATCTTTTCATCATGAACTTGCTTTTTGTTACTGAAGTACTACCGAAACAACGAAGAACGACACCCACACAGTAGAAAGTGACTTGTTTTCTAAGTGTATAAAGCAGTATTACAGAAACAGAATTTTAAAAACAAAAAGGAAAAACCCCCTAGCAGATAAAATTTTTACCACTATTAAGTTGGCCAAAAAAAGAACATTTTAAAGAGGCAAAGAAATTACATTTTAAACACTTACGTCTTCTCTGGGTAGTTTATTTTCATTGTCCCCTTCAATTCTCACCCGAACCACACCGGATTTGTCCACTATTTCTTGAATAACTTTGCCATTTTTTCCAATTACTTTTCCTTTAGTAAGAGAAAACAAATATAATGGTAAGCTAAAAACCAATTCTGCTATTCTTTCAGTACTGGCCCAACTACTGTAACTTGCTAGTAATTATAACCATCCAGTGAAGCTCCATCTTTTTACTGTCAATTAACCCACCCTATAGACTACCAAGGAATTTTACCCCGATCTGAAACTCACTTCTCTATCAGCATGCCTAAGGTTACTAACTGGGAATGACAACAGTGCTAGACATTTTCATAATCTAGACTTTTAAAATATCCCTTTATCACTTTCACATTTTTAAAATATCCAACCCATTCAAAACCATGAATATGTACATAAAGGCAAAGAGAAAACTATTTTAATTTGGCATTAATTACATCACTTTCGTAATTCACGTAAGTAACAAATCTATCAATCTTACTTTTATTTTCAAGTTTCTATCTGTCCAAAAGATTTCTATGACTTAAAGATAACTTTAGAATATTTACATGTATTGCATTTTAACCAAAGTTTTTAAAGTACTTCACAGCTATATAAAAAATTACATAATGCATATGCATGATATGTTGTCTTGCTAGGTATAAAATATTGTAAAACGACATAAAATTCAAATTAACTTTTCTACACTTAAAAGTCTGTCAAACAGCAGTTATTGAGTATATTCATAAACAAAGGGGTCAAAAGGCTCCTTTCCCTGAAGGATTATCTATGTAAAGATTACATATACTCACATAAACTACAAAGCAACACTGAGTTGTGTACCTTAATTAAGTTAGCAAGTACTATTCAAGTAACCTTCACCATATGGAACAGATATATCCCTTAGTGAACAGCAATAGCATAGTTGTTATCAAGTCCACATCCTCAAATAATTTTTTAAGTAAATCTCTTTTTGCAAAAACTTAAATCTTGGTTGAAAGAGTTAAAATGGAAGATTTTCCTACTGCATGCCTGAACAAACAGTTTCCATTAAAGAATGAATAAGAACAAGGACAACAGTAGACTGGTCAATACAATGAAATGACTATAATGGGTTTTTCTCTCTTGTATTCCTACTCTCAAGCCTCATTCCCCATTAATAATCCTAAATTTAAAAGCAGCAGCAATTGAACAGGTTAAAAAAAAAAAAGTAGGGCAGGGAATTCACATGACATGTATCTTCTCTGAGCAGACCTAGCAGGAGCACATAAAAGCAACCTTCATTGTTAACACAGTGAAGCTCAAGCTGCAACTCCATCCTTGACCCTGCTAAAAATAAGCAAACGTCTTTCGAAGAACAAAGATTAGGTTGATATACCATATTCCTCCCCCAGAACCTTTGCCGCTTCCTTCTTTTGAACTATACCGGTTGTGAGTGCTCATCCATCACCCTTCCGGGTCCTTGGTAGGAACCTACCTGCAAGTTTTATTTAGTCCCACCAGAGACCGTCAATATTTTAAATGACCATTTCCATAGTTTAAACTCCAGATCATATTGACAAATTGAAGCAGACCTGTAGTATAAATTGAGCACTGAATACAAATGCTTAAGGGACAGAGAGAAGTGATTAAGGAAGGCTTCTGGAGGTGAAAGGTTTTGAATCATTTTCAAATCAATGTTCAGATATTTTTTCCTTTCATTTGGGAGGGATGGGAATGGTCACCTTAGAACTCTCGGAATCTGGACGAGGAAGGAAATTCTCGCTGGAACTTACCCACCACGTGTCCTCATTCCGTTTTATTCCTCAGTTCTCTTTTTCTTTCATTTGGACTAACAATGTACTATTTTTCAAAAGACTGCTTCATCCATAAAACATTATGGAGGGAAATATTGTATCTGTACACATGACAACCAATAGAAATTCTTATACTCCTTCTGAGTATTCCAACAATGTGTAACAGTTACTGCTAATGTATACTTCCTGAAGAGCACACAACCCACATCACCAGAGCCAATGGAGACAAGATCCAGGAAGAGACAACAGGTACTCACCACTTCACTGAATAAAGACAACAATCAGAGAACTACTAATATACCCGATTTTCTTATTTTTGAAACACCAGAAATTTTTACTCAACTCTCTAAGACCACAACTGTCTAAGACCAAGGCTCTTTTTATAATTGATAGACTTGGATTGAAAAGAAACCCGGTTCCCTTTCACAAATGCACTGCCAAATCATTTTTACAAGTGAGGAAACAGGCTGGGCACGGTGGCTCGCGCCTGTAATCCCAGCACTTTGGGAGGCCGAGGCAGGAGGATCACCTAAGGTTGGGAGTTCAAGACCAGCCTGATCAACATAGAAAAACCTGGTCTCTATTAAAAATACAAAATTAGCCCAAGTGTGCTGGCGCATGCTTGTAGTCCCAGCTACTTGGGAGGCTGAGGCAGGGGAATCGCTTGAACCCGGGAGGCGGAGGTTGCAGTAAGCTGAGATCACACCATTGCACTCCAGCCTGGGCAACAAGAGCAAAGCTCCATCTCAAAAAAAAAAAAAGAAAAAAAACAGCAACAAGTGAGGAGACCTTAGTAAAGTTCAATTGTGCTCTATGGAGCAGTTACCATAATGTTAGTACTGACAGATGTCAATTAAGTACAATTTTTTAAAAAAGGGTATCATTTTGAAAAGCAGCTTTCTCGTGAAAGGTGATTCCATTTGATACTGATAAATATTTGATAACACTGTGGACCCTACCTATGTATATTTATAATGATATAAAGTTCTTCAAGTTTATATTCAATTTTAACATTTCAAGTCATCTTTCTAGCACTTCAGACTACAGTGAACAAAGGCATACCAAGAACTAATAAAGCAGAACTTACACAACTGGCAGTAACGCCACACCTATCCAAATGTTTGAGCAGAACTGAAAGACTTTTTATAGCCAGGCATGGTGGCTCACGCCTACAATCCCAACATTTTGGGAGGCTGAGGCAGGTGGATCACAAAGTCAGGACTTTGAGACCAGCCTGGCCAATATGGTGAAACCCCGTCTCTACTAAAAATACAAAAATCAGCCAAGCATGGTGGCGGATGCCTGTAGTCCCAGCTACTTAGGACGTTGAGGCAGGAGAATTGCTTGAACCCGGGAGGCAGAGGCTGTGGTGAGCCGAGATCAGGCCACTGATTCCAGCCTGGGTGACAAAGCAAGACTGTCAGAAAAAAAAAAGAAAGGCAGGCTTTTTACATAAATACTAATAGTTGAATTCCAAGAAACAAATTGCCGTCTTGTAAACTACTTTTCCTGAATGCACTACTCATTAATGGTCAAGCAAACAATCTTTTTAGAATGAAAGAGGTTTTTTAAAATTTTTCTATTAATGTTTGTTTTACACAATTTAACAAATAGAACGCCTGCAGTTAAATCATTTCCTAAAGACAGAACAGGCCACATTATATAAATGGAACCCAAGAAGCTGAAAGTATTTCCTTAGCATCAACAAAAAAAACTGAGAGATAACAGGGAACAAAAACTCATCCCCCTTCTAATAAACTCACTATATTATCTTGCTGCTTCTTTTTATATTAAATATTTACAAGGGTCAATTTTTGGTATAGTCATTGCGTATTTAACACATAACCAAAGCCTTCCCGATTGCCTCACACAGCACCTAATAGATAGCACAGATGCAGGGCAGAGTAACAGAGCTACAAGTTAACACACTCCAAGCTACAGTGCTCATTTAACCAGCTTCAAATTTTCGTCACTTAACTATAATCTAGGGGTACAACAGTTTCAGTAATGGTGTCAAATAACTAATAGTGAAACCTCCCCTCACATCATCATCCCTCTCCTCCTGCCAGTAAGTTCTTACCTTATTATTCTATGCCTTTGCAACAACTTGTTACTCAGGACCTACTGTGTAGAATTTGTTACCCTATTGTTTGTTAGTTCACTGTTACTTTTCTTCTGCACTAAACAATTATCATAAATACCTTCTCAAAAAGTACTATCATAATTTTGATGAATATAAATTAATGATGAAAAGACCATAAGGGAGTGAGAATAATAGGAAAGATCCCACGGGATGAGAAGGCTTACAAAAAACTGCAATGACAAACTGTTATAAAAACCCTGGGCCTTATTAGTGGGTCACCCTATACAGAAGAAACAAACATCTTTACTTTTTAACACATGACAAAAACAAGTTACAAGTCACACAAAACGTTATCACCAAAAAATATAAGTATTGCTATCTAAATAACTGTACACATAAGTGGAATAAGGTTATCAGACTACAAGACTAGTTTTCAATAGCTGCTGTATGTAACTAAACAATGTTTATTTAACATTTAGTAAAAGTACCTACCAACAAGATTCCTAGGAACCTGAATAAAATCCTCCACAAATTCCAAGAAACCTCTAGCTTTTTTTACAGCATCAGCACTCTGTAGATGAGGGGAAAAGTAAAAATGAATTCCTTTTTCAATTTTGAAGCAACCCACAATCCACAACAAAGAGATGAGAAAAGAGAAAATTTTGAATGATTATGTTTTACTAAAAGATTATGCTCATTCCATTGAGGAGAGATTTCAGGTGAAGTGATTCACCAAGTACTTAAGAAAATTATTTTGAAAAACCCTAAATCAGTCAGTACTATTAAAACCAAAAATAACATTTCTAAAATCTTTTTTAAGCTGCTGAGAAATTTAGTATCAGAGTTTACATTACACAGCTGCTGAACAGCCAAACTTCAACCCAATCCTAAATATACTCCCAGGTTGTAATTCTTATGTTGAATGTTAAGAACACAAAGTGTCTAAATTGTCTGAATTATTTTATTCTCAAAATCAGATATATGACTTAAAAAGCTATTTTTGCAGAGATGCATTTTTAAAAAGTACCTTCCGTCTGATAAGATAATCAAAATTCGTAATTTCTAATGAGTATAATTTTAAATGACTAGAGGGTCGGGAGTGAGTCTCTAAATGAACTTTCTACCTCTCAATAAAGTTACTTTCATTTTTAACATTTGTTCTTTAATAACCATGGCTGAGGCCAGATGTGGTGGGCTCATGTCTGTAATCCCAGCACTCTGAGAGGCCAATGTAGGAGGATCATTTAAGCCAAGAGTTTGAGACTAGCCTGGGCAACACAGGAAACCCCCTTCTCTACAAAATAGATAGACGTTTAAATTGGCCCAGCATAGAAGCACAGGCCTGTAGTCCCGGCTGCTCAAGAGGCTGAGGCCCGAGGACTGCTTGAGCCCAGAAGTTTGAGGCTGCAGTGAGCTATGATCACACCACTGCACTCCAGCTGGAGCAACAGAGTACACCTTTTTTAAAAAAAAAAAAAAAAAAAGCAAATAAAATTTTAAAAAATATTAAAATAGCTCAAATTATTGTGTGCTCACTACATGACATACCATATACAATAAGTATTTTTTACAATATATTCCATCCTTAAGAACTATATTAAGGTAAGCACTACTGTTATTATTTTATAACGAGAACATTTAGACAAGGAAGTAAAGTAACGCACTTCAAGCCTACTAAAGTGGTAGATGGGATTCCAACCCAGGAAGTATACCTCCAAAGGCTATCTTTTTTTCTTCTTCTTTTCCTCCTCCTCACAAGACAGACAGAACCTTTGGCTCTGTCCCTCAGGCTAGAGGACAATGGTACAACCACAGCTCACTGCAGCCACTCAGTCTTGGCCTCAAGTGATCTTCCTGCCTCAGCCTCCAAAACTGCTGGAGTGACATACATGAGCTACCATGCCTGGCTGTCTTCTTAATTACTATGTTATGCTATATACTTTTAAAGTTTTCAAAATTAAAAATGAAGCCTCCAGTCACAGCTTTACCATATGAAAGAAGCTTTTCATAGAGCTATGTATAAGAAGTCAAGACACAAAATTGTCATTCCAAAAAAAAAAAAAAAAAAAAAAAAAATCCAGGCCAGGCATAGTGGCTCATGCCTACAGTCCCAGCACTCTGGGAAGCTGAGGCATGCAGATCACCTGAGCTCAGGAGTTCAAGACCAGCCTGTGCAATATGGCAAAACCTTGTCTCTTATTTAAAAAACAAAACAAAACAAAATTCACTTACTCAAATTTGAAGGATGGTCTCAATTTATAAACATAAAAATAGAAGTGAGTATATATATATATATTATATATATTATATATATATATTATATATGTATATATATTTAAACTCTATGTTGCCCTGGCTGAATTAAAACTCATGGGCTCAAGCAATCCTCCTGCCTCAGATTCCCAAGTAGATGGGACTACAGGTATATGCCACTATACCTGGCTGAATTACGATTTAAAAATAACTTACTGATTTCCTACCCGTGCAGATGTCATGATTCACTAGTGATGAAGTATTACAGAAATTCAAGTTCTAGAAAAGCTATTCTAATATATGCCATTTACTCCTACCAGTGTATGGCACACAGTAAGCACTCAAAAACAAAAATTATTAATTGGATAAATTATTTGTTACGGGCATAAAACTGAAATAAACTAAAAGCAGTAAAGAAATTTCAATTAAAAAACACTACATACTTAATTAGTCAGTAAATCTTTCACTCCCCCAGTAAAAAATCAGCTTCAATTTACCTTCTCAAGTCATGATTACGAGGCTGACTGATGCTAACTAAATAAATTCTACCTCAAAAGTATTTCACTGGGAAACTGGAATTTCAGATAAAAATATAATCAAACAATAGATGGTTAACACATTACAGTAAAGGCCAAGGCAGGAGACAGAGAACTTACCTCTCCATAGATCCTAAATGTTCCGGTATCTTCATCTAGCTCGATGGCGGTAACTCCAGGAACCTTCCTAGCTTGCTGAATGTTACTACCATGTGTTCCTATTGCCAGGCCCATTAAATCTTCTCTCACAACAAATTCCTCATGAAAAGCTGCTGCAAGTTGTTTTGTGCACTAATAAAACAGGAAAATTAGAATATAAAAGATCAAAATACAAACTGTTTTTTTGTTTGGTGTTTTGAGACATGCTCTCGCAATGTCACCAAGGCTGGGGGTGCAGTGGTGTGATGGTGGCTCCCTGTCGCCTCAATTTCCTGGGCTCAAGCAATCTTCCCACTTCAGCCTCCAATATAGGCACACACCACTGAGACCAGCTAATTATTTTTTGTAGAGACAAGGTCTCACTATGTTACCTAGGCTTGTCTCGAACTCCTGGACTAAAGCAATCCTCCCACCTCAGACTCCTAAAGTGCTGGGATTATAGGCATGAGCCACCACACATGGCCACAAAACGTTTTATTGCACATCCATGTTTATAGCATTATAAATAGGTGAAAGAACCCAGATCTACAGGCCAATGAATGAACAAACACAATGTGATATAATATACATTCTGCCTTAAAAATGAAATTCTGACAGAGGCTACATAAATGAACCTTGATGCTAAGTTAAATATGCCAGTCACAAAAAAAACTAAAATGCTTTTACTTACATGAGGTATCTAAAATAGTCAAATTTATAGCAACAGAAAGTAGAATGATGGTCGCCAGGGGCTGGGGAAAGGAGAAAATGAGCAGCTGTCTAAAAGGTATAGATTTTCAGTTTTACAAGATGAGAAGTCCTGAAGATTTATCAATAATGTAAAATATACTTAATACTAAGTGTACACCTAAAAATGGCTATGATGCTAAGTTTTATATGTGCTTTATCATAGTGTAAAGAAAAACCTGAGAAGAAAAAACCCACAAAAATTAAGTTAAAAAAAGGCCAAAACTCAATCTCTTAAAAAATAAATGAAAGTAGGCCGGGCGCGGTGGCTCAAGCCTGTAATCCCAGCACTTTGGGAGGCCAAGGCGGGTGGATCACGAGGTCAAGAGATCGAGACCATCCTGGTCAACATGGTGAAACCCCGTCTCTACTAAAAAAAAATACAAAAAATTAGCTGGGCATGGTGGCGCGTGCTTGTAATCCCAGCTACTCAGGAGGCTGAGGCAGGAGAATTGCCTGAACCCAGGAGGCGGAGGTTGCGGTGAGCCGAGATCGCGCCATTGCACTCCAGCCTGGGTAACAAGAGTGAAACTCCATCTCAAAAAAAAAATAAATAAAATAAAATAAATGAAAGTCATCTAATGTCATAAAATGAATGGGAAAAAAAACTGTTTTATTAGTCTAAAACATTTTTCCAGATATAGGCACACATGTTCAGAACTTTTAATGAGAACACTTCCAAATTTGTCCTAAGGATAATAAACACATCCCAGTTTCTCTAAGACAACACAGTGCATGCATGCACGTGTATTCATCTAGATCTAGAGAGAGTGGGTGAGTGGAAAAACAACCACCCTAGCAGTGTAGCAGGGAGAAAAGGACAAAACAGTACCCCAGGACACGTCAGAGGGGTCATGACAAGCTTAGTATTTTAGTACTACATGCCACATGATGCCCCACTCCTAGTCCTCCTCTCCTCTCACACGAGAGTCGTTACAATCAACTAGTTAATGATGAAAGATATCAGGACTGATAAACAGGGCAGTTAAAAAAAAATAAAAAGGTTAAATACACAGTAAAGAACTAGCAATACAGTCTACTCAGTATCTCTAGTTTCTTCACTATTTGTTACCGGTCATCTAAGTCCTACCAACAAGTTAACAGGCATTTAGCAAAGGAAAGGCTACATTTGATAAAAGGCAACATGGAAAAGTAATTCTTCTAAAGGCACGACAACTCTAAATAGTCATGAAACAGAGGTCCTAGGCGGCCTTAGTTTGAAGCAAGGAACTTGAAAAATATACTTATAAAACTAAATGGGGGCTAGGCACAGTGGCTCATGCCTATAACCACAGCACTTTGGGAGGCCAAGGTAGGTGATTACGTGAGGCCAGGAGTTAGAGAGCAGCCTGGCCAACATGACAACATCCCGTCTCCCAAAATACAAAAATTAGTTGGGCTTGGTGCTACACACCTGTAATCCCAGCTACATGGAAGCAGGCAAGAGAACTGCTTGAACAAGGGAGGCAGAGGTTGTAGTAAGCCAAGATCATGCCACTGCACTCTGGGTGACAGAGCCAGAATGTGTCTCTAAAACACAAACAAACAAAAACTCAATAGGACACACAGAATTCTTTCGTAGGTAAACCCACTTACTTCTAAATGCTTAGTGGCCTCTTCATTTCTGGACATAAGCATCAACTTTGTACGAATACTTCGCAAATGCATGTCACTTAAGATATTTACTCTCTTCACAGTTGCTTCGCTGGCAGACTATAAACAAACAAGCTAATTACTCAAAACTTTAATCATTCTTCCAAATAGTACAAATACCATCTTCTATACAAAGCGTTCCTTGCTTCTCATCTACTCCACTTCTTCTTTCAACTAACATTCAGTACTCTGAGTAATCACACTTTCCTTTCTGAATTCCTGTATTATTTAGATCTGCTATTCAGAATATGGTTGGTTGGGAAAAAATCCGGATTCTCACACATTAAGAATTTTATGTTAAGAATGTCATGTTAAAGAATTTTTTCTCCTTACTACAGAAGAAATCAAAAGTAATTAACATTTTATAGCTGCAAACAAATTTTTCTCCAACACTGTTTTAATAAATAATTCACTACACACTAAGTTGACCTTAGTTTTTCTCTTTTGAAATATCTAGTAATAAAATCTGTGCAGTATGCATTAACAAGTTACTTTAAAATATGGTGTTATCTTACCAGTATCATTAGCTGTGTTGTTTCTGGATGGTAAAAAATTCTGCATGCTCCTACTGCTTTCTTAAAATCTTTATGCGCATTTTCATTAGCACACCTAGAGAAAAATTAATTCATGTGTAAGACCTCAATAACAGGTTAAATTTAGAGGAGACTTATAATACGAAGTCAGTGTTTCATTTTGACATCCCCCATTAAAACCTTTGTTCATTAAGAAGATTTTCCATCAAAAGGTTTTGATTGGGCATTTGGGAAAATGTTTTGTGGCAATGAAAAATCCTCTTAATTCACAAAACAATTCAACAATAAATAAAATTACTCACGCCTCTCTCAAATCCTCAGGAACATCCACTGTGCATTTAAAGAAGGTATTTTTTTTGACAGTTTTATTTTGATTGACAGGTCGAAGTCGTTCAAATGTGACTATTTCATTGTAAGTAGCATCACAAGCAGCATATTCAATGACATAAAACTAAAAGACATCAAAATACTTTAAAAATCCCATATGAACAAAAATAATGAAGTTTAAATGAAGTTCTAATTACCTTGCTCAGCTTAACCAATGGACCCTCCCCCATGTGGCACAAACACTAAGCACAGCTTAGCTACATCAATCTCATTTGCCTAAACTAGATGATAGGTTCTTACAAGCATGAACCTTGGTGATCCTGACATGCTTGAGGTGTACCTCTGGAGTGCGGCTTTGGTGTTTGCCAATACAGAACACAACAGAAATTAATGCTAATGAACTTCCGAAATGTTTGATCAACTATTTCTCAGGCAGGCTTTTAGAAATGAAACTGACAGTAGAAATAACATTTACAAAAACCAAGCACTGAGGCGTCTCCTTAGAAACTAGTCGCAAAGCAAGTGTGAAGATTACTTACTTCTCCTTTCATCATCCGAACTTTAGCCAACCACCACCCACATGGCTCTTGGTCATTTGCTCTTGAATATACCTGAGAAGAAAAAAAAAAAATGCCTATATCCATTTATCCCAAAAGATTTCAATGCTGTCAATAATGACTTATTATAAATGTCCAATCCCATTAACCTTAAGAATCAAAAATGCTATTTTAAATTGGTATATTAAATGCAATACAATAAAAGTGATAGCTACACTTAAATTTAGTACTTAAAAATAAAACTATACTTTTTTCCGCAATTTAGCTTCTTGGAAATTAATTCCATATTCACGAGGTTTACTAAACATAAGCATTTTAAAGAAATGCTCTTAAAAAGGAGTTTTAGAGTTTTAAATAATGTATAACACAGGTCTTCCTGTTTGTCAACATTGTTAATATTAAGTATTATTCTCAGAAAGTGATTAACCTAATTTTTAAATTCCATCAGGGATATGACACTTAGATCCCTTGCTAAAGAACCTAAAGTAAATGTACTAAAATTGTTTAACAAAAAAACTACACACATTCAGTCCATCTAGCAGAGCACACTAGTACCTTACAAAACTCCTATTCAGTCCAGGCGCTGTGGCTCACGCCTGTAATCCCAGAACTTTGGGAGGCCAAGGTGGGTGGATCACCTGAGATCAGGAGCTCGAGACCAGCCTGATCAACATGGTAAAACCCTGTCTCTATTAAAATACAAAAATTAGCCGGACATGGTGGCAGGCATCTATAATCTCAGCTACTCGGGAGGAGGCGGCAGGACAATCACTTGAACTCAGGGGACACACCACTGCACTCCAGCCTGGGCAACTGGAGAGAAACTCCATTTCAAAACAACAACAACAAACTCCTATCCATAAAAAAATTAGTCTTATATTCTTTGTAAATATCAGTTTTATTAACATAATAGATCACAGAAGTTTTCACTTGGGATTCTAGTTATTTCTTATGATACAACAGAGCTTAATGCATATTTTCAATATATGGAAAGGTAGAAAAGGGGGGCTGAGAAGAAACAAGAACCAATAAAAACCATGAATGACTGCCCTCAAAGAGATGGCCAGGGAAACCTATCAGTGGGTGTTAACAGCCATCTGGGAGACAAACGTAAACAACTAAAGACAAAAAAGTTTTAGGAAGCCTGAAGCTTCTATCAGGACGATTTGAGAGTAATCTCAGAAGCGGTAGGAATACTGAAACTGGAAATGAATAAACCAAAACCTACTAATAAACTTTATTGTACACCGTGATTAGAGCAGCAAGTCCAATATACCAATCAGGATCCATTAAACTCAACTTAGCTTTTCCGTTTCTTTTATCAACAGATCTAACTATTCAAAGGGATCGGTATCTCATGACTTTATTCTTCCTTAGACATACACAAAAGACAAGAAAGTTTACTTTTTAAGACTAGAATAAAACTCACCCTTATTCTGCAATTATTTTATGTATCCACTGGGCCCTTTTATAAATGTAAGGTAGAATCTAGTGATCTTATTTTTCCTATATCTTGAAACATTTTACTATTTCATCAACATTCATCAGTTATTCTCAGCTATATTTTAAATAAAGACTAAAATGGAACAGAGGAGTGACGGCATCACCTAGAAGGACACAACAGTGAAATAAATTGTTAACGCTGTGTCATCATACAGTTTCCTTACTGTATAGCCCAAGGTATCACATCTCTTTCAAAAAAGTTCAAAAAGACTGAAGACGCCATCCTTGTAGTCTGCTTGTAGCTACCGCTGACCAGTTGAGAATTATGAATTTATTTTTCACTCGTAATTGCAAAGAGAAGAAAATTTACAGAGGAATGCCTTTCTAATTATTAGAGGTATCAGACAACAGATCCAAAAAGATAGCGGCACACTTGATTCCACTGATAAATGTGAAATTATCTTACAAAGTGAAATCTCAGATTATGAAGTCTTCAGATAGTAACATCCTAGACGAATGTTCTCAAACCACGTATTTCTAAGGAGAAGAGGCAAAGATGATGTCTATTCTCATCCAGTTAATCACTCAACTGAGACTCCATCATGCAAAATCCTCCAACAAGAACCCAGATCATTCTGGTTTTCTAAAATGGTTTATGACAGTATTCTTCCATCTTTTTAAGATGTCTGTGGTCAGGCATGGTGGCTCACACCTGTAATCCCAACACTATGGGAGGCCAAAGCAGGTGGACTGCTTGAACTCAGGAGTTCAAGACCAGCCTGGACAACATGACAAAACCCTGTCTCTACCAAAAATACAAAAGAAATTAATCAGGCACGGTAGCACAACAGTGGTCCCAGCTACATGGAAGCCTAAGGTGGGAGGATCACTGGAGCCCAGGAAGTTGAGAAGGCAGTGAGCCAAGACTGAACCACTACTCTCAAGCCTGAGTGACAGAGCAAGACCCTGTCCGAAAAAAAAAAGTAAAATAAAAGTTGAAGATAAAGTTTTTAAAAATATGTTTGTGTGCCAAAATTTACTTCATTTAAGTGGAAATGTCAAAGGCAGATGTGTATACAAAGATAACTGCAAAAGATAATGAAATGCAAATATATTCATTAATCAATTCAACTGACTAAATATGCTAAAATCACAGCACAAAGACGGCTATCCCTTCTTTCATAGAAGGAAATGCCAGTAAAAGTTCCAAGTATTCAAGAACTACACTCTGATTATCCAAGTGTAAGAATAACTACAAGTAATGACAAACTGGAATTTATTAGAGATATTTTAAATCTGGTATCAATATGTATAAAATGGGTATAATCTAGGTTCATGTTTAACGGTTACTGAGCAGTTAAGTTACATTTAGAGAACTGCATTTATTGCAGATACATATATCATCAAAACCTGGAAAATATGAAAAAGTTGGATTTGCCATATTTAAACTCTGACTAAAATGTCTAATAAGGCCATGCATGGTAACTCACACCTGTAATCCCTGTACTCCGGGAGGCCAAGGTGGGCACATTACTTGAGCATCAGAGTTCAAGACCAGCCTGGTGAAACCCCATCACTACGTAAAAGGCAAAAATTAACCAGGCATGGTAGCATGTGCCTGTAATCCCAGCTACCCCAAGTGGAAAGATCACTTGAGCCCAGAAGGTTGAGGCTACAGTGAGTTGTGTTCACTCCACTGTACTCCAGCATGCAGTCTAATAATGGCCAGGAACAGTGGCTCATGCCTGTAATACCAGCGCTTTTGGAGGCCAAGGCAGGAGGATTGCTTGAGTCCAGGAATTTGAGACCAACCTGGGCAACACAGGGAGATCCCATACCTATAAAAAAATTTTTTTTAATTGGCCAGATGTGGTGATGCATGCCTCTAGTCCCAGCTACTTGGGAGGCTGAGGCAGAAGCATCACTTGAGACTAGGAGGTTGAGGCTGCAGAGAGCCATGATCATACCACTGTACAGAAAAAGAATATGCTAACAATCAAAAGAAAGTGCCCATTCGAAGCACTATCTTAAGTGAGGCAGCTCATCCAAGCAGACTGGAATATCTCTTGCTAATCTGTGGGTACATCAAGCCTGATCTGCTGAAAAGGTTATGCCTTTAAAACTACCTAGACCCCTTATTCTATTTTCACTAAAGCATAACCATCCATTAACTTGGCTTCCTAAATAAAGCATTCTTAACTGCCTGGAGGCTTTTCTAACTAAACAACGAAATGCTGAATTCAGTTTTAAACTTAATATCCATTTCTGTAAGCTTCATTAATAACCTCACCCCAAAAAGACCAAGTTACTTTCACAAAGTGACTAAATATAAATGCCTGAATTAAAACACTACAAATTTGGCCATGCACGGTGGCTAGCACCTGTAATCAGAGCACTTTGGACGACCGAGGCGGGCGGATCACCTGAGGTCAGGAATTCGAGACCAGCCTGGCCAACATGGCGAAACCCTGTCTCTACTAAAAATACAAAAAATTAGCTGGGCATGGTGGTGCGTAACAGATATAAAAATCTGTTATATATTGTGTTTTTCTCCCCAGGCGGTTTTTTAATGCCTTCTGAATTATCACTTTATAATTCTGTTAACACGCTGGAGGTTATCTTTTTCATACTTTCAGTGACTGTTATTGTATTGTTCATATGTACAGTTTTGTAAACGTGGTGGATAGAAGCTGATGTCTCCTGAATTCTCATTTCCTTAATAGTAATATGGGTACATCATTTATATTAGTTTATCGGCTCTTCATCCTTTGTTCTGTGAATTGTCTATTTTTTGTTTGTGTAGCTTATGGTGTAGGAAATCCTTCTGTTTTATGGCTATTTCGGTTTTTTTTCTTGAGATGGAGTCTTACTGTTGTCCAGGCTGGAGTGGCATGACCTCATCTCAGTGCAACCTCTGCCTCCTGGGTTCAAGCAATTCTCCTGCCTCAGCTTCCCAGGTAGCTGCGATTATAAGTGTCCGCCACCACACCTGGCTAATTTTTTTTTTTTTTTTTAAGTGGAGATGGGGTTTCACCATGTTGACCAGGCTGGTCTCAATCTCCCGACCTCAGGTGATCTACCCGCCTCAGCCTCCCAAAGTGCTGGGATTACAGGTGTGAGCTACCGCGCCCAGAAGGCATTTCTGGAGGATGAAATGGTACATTTTAGTACTTTTCAAAACGTAAATATCTTGCCTTTTGATTCTGCAACTGAACCTCTTAAAATATACAATACTACCAGAAGATTTACATAAGATGATTAACTTTAACTCTGGTATTGTTTTCTTTTATTAATAGCAACAATTTTTGGTAATAATTTCAACAGCTTTTAATTTGATATATCCACACCAAGTAATTTTGAGGTGGTTACAAAAAAATGAGGTAAATTTAAAATAAGGAAAAGGAGAAAAAAACAAAAAACAAAAAAAAAGATTGAGAAGACATCAAAATGTCTGCTATCCTAATTAACTGAATACAAAAATCACAAATATATAACTCAATCCCATTTTATCAACTTAAATACCTCCTTTACACATGCAAACAAAAAACTCAGAGGAGACAATCAATTCTAGTGAGATTTAAGTTAGGGATGGTGGGTAAGCACACCTACATTAAGAGGGACATGCTTTATATAATTTTTACATTAAGCGCTTTATTACTTTGAATGAGGGAGGCGGCTTTCAAAACGTTACCTGTTAAAGTACTAATTCGAGAGTTTCTAAACATTCTAGGTACTATGAACAGATCCTTAATAAATGGTGGCAAAAGAAACAAAATTCTATGGGTGGCAAGATTACACTTAAACTTTTTCCTTATATGAATTTTCAAATTTTTCAAAAGTGAAAAAACTATGACATCTTAATTTCAGATGACTTACAAAATTCTAGAGAGCAAATTTTCAGTGATGGGCAGCTATTTTAAATTTTAAAATAAAAAGAAAAAAGCAAATTTCACCAGAGCTGAATCATAAAACATACTATGAAATTTTTTTCTTAATTCTGGATTCGATTTTTCAATCATTCAATCTCTAGCATCAATGTCTTATTTACAGAAGGGGAGGCAGGCCACAGGGGTGAGCCAGAGACTGTTCAGGAACAAGGCAGGACCTTCCTGGACAGGAATGGAAAAAGTACACTGTTAACACCCTCAGCACTCCACTAAGAGTAGTTTTCCCTTTAATCTGAGACTTCACGCTACCAATTTTGTGTCTGAACATCAAAAACGTCTAAGAAGCACTACTACCAAAACTGACTGCCATACATTTCTAATTCTGGTACATGTCCAAACCTACGTCATTCCTTGCTTGACCTAACTTCTGCTTATTCAGTATCTAAAAAACACTGCACCACCAATTTTGAAAAATGAAAATGAATCAAGCCCCTTCCATCCTCACAGAAAACTATCAGAGCTACAACATTGAGAAACACATTTTCAATAAAATCTACAGTCCAAATGAAGAGAGTAATCGGCAGCATCAATCACTGCCACACATAGCACCACCCAGGACCCCACTTGACACTCCCTGATTTGCAGCAGTCACTTCACCACTGTTCCTCGTGCCTCCCCCACCACACATCAGTAACATTTTCCTCAAGAACTCTAATACAACAGCCAGACTACAGAACAGGTATTCTTACAAAAAGTTATTTAACTTATTGCCATCTTTCTGCCTGGATTTTGACTATGTGCACTAAGTTCACTGTGTACTATTTTGCTTTTGCGAAAGCAAAGTGATAAACTACGGCCCTGCATGAATGAGTAAAGCACTCACTTTACTCTTTTATCTTTGACTTCCACAGAAGTGGGTACACCAAGTTAAGGTTATTAGGGGTTGAAATGCTGCAATTATTTGACTTCCCAGCATATGATCTTAATGAGAGCTCAAAGAAAATTTATCATTAAAAAAAATCAGGCCAGGTGAGGTGGTTCACGCCTATAATCCCAGCACTTTGGTAGGCCACGGTGGGCAGATCACCTGAGGTCAGGAGCTCAAGACAAGCCTAGCCAACAGGTGAAACCCTGTCTCTATTAAAAGAAAACATTTGCTGGGCATGGTGGTGGGTACCTAATCCCAGCTACTAAGGACGCTGAGGCAGGGGAATCCCTTGAACCTGGAAGGAGGAGATTG